AAACGCTGGTTTGATAGGACTTGAACTGCAGGAGACCTACACTGATTATTTTTACTTAGTACTTCCATTGTGAAAGACATCTTTTAATTATTTTCAAGAACAAAATCTTTTGAGAAGGAAGAATATTTAACTGAGCAGTTCTTATATACAAAATTAAAATACAGCAATGTAATATTGAAAAGGTATTAGTAATGTGTGAAAAAAAATGCAAACGAATTAATCACCATACAGGATAGATTAGTTTAATTTTGGTTATATTTTATATTGAAAAAATATTTTTTCATGTTAATATAGAATAAATTATTTAAATAAAGCATTTTGATGCGTTTTGATAATTGAAGCAGCAGCAATCGGAACTGTATGCGATGAATTATTTCTTTTCCTGAAGAATAATTTCATAGAAAAAGAAAATAAAAAAAAGGAAGAAATATAAGAAAGAAAATTTCTTTCTAATTCTTATTTAAAGAAATATTTTCGAATAGTAACTGTAAAATAAATACGGGAAAACAGTTTTTAATGTAAACATGGGAAAAAAGAAAAAAACTTAGTTTTGCTATTAGCTTGTAATGCAAATTAATCATATTATAAATTAAATAATAAATTTTATTCAAAAGGATTGAAAGTAAGCTTAATTCATTTACTATCTATTTACCATGCTTTCATGGTATCCCATATCACTCTTTATTCTACTCTAAATTCCTGCGTTAACTTTCCCATTAAAAACGAGATTTCTTTCACATAACACAGCAGCATATTACTGCGTGTTGGTCATATACTGTTTTGTGCAATTTTTTTTTTCGAACTACAAAGCAGCGAGAACCTCAGCCGCGCGCGCTATAAATTTCGTCACTCGTCGTACTGCGATTGGTCTAAAAACTCCTTGAAGCTTGTCCCCTTCAGTAAAGTTAAATGGACCCACCCGCCCTCCAACTGAGGACCACAGAATGGCTTTCTCGATAAGTTGTGTGGCTGTCCATACCGGTCTCTTGCGTCATATTGTTCGCTCAAGTTGTAGACAGATCCAGTGATCATAGAATAGGCGTCCTGGCGTGGCGCCAATAAGTAGAGAAGGGGGATTTTTCGCCGTATTAGCTATTTGTCATTGATCGCTTCTCAACTTTTTTTTCTCCGCTGTGTAAAATTTTCGTTTCATTCATTGATGCACGTGTGAATTTTTCGTTTCGTTTATTGAAATATTTTTTTATTTATGTACGCAAGAGAATTTCACTATGAAATTTCTCGATATAAATAGTGATATTATACAATTAGAAGAAGGTGTCCGGAATGCATTTAGGTGGAATTGGATTGAACGGAGAGATGGTAATGGGGATACCATCGGCACATGGTGCAAGAAAATAAATGTTGCTGGACAAGCATGTTGTGTTTTTTGTAACTCACTGCTGAAGTATGGTGGGGAAGGATTCAAGGCTTTCACAATCATTCTAAAACTGTGACGCACATAAAATATTCAAAGTGCATTAGACATTCAATGACTTTAAGTTTAATTATGCTAATTCAAAAAATACTGATGACTTACTGGAGACTGATGCTCGGCCATTGGAATATAGTGACAAGAAAAGCACGCCAAGAGGTATTAAACTTCGTTTATCGCCGAGATTCTCTTTCTTTCAATGTAGCTCCCATTTAATTGATCTCTGCAAACAGTTGAGCCGCGATCAGACGGCACTAAACTCGTTGGAAATCCAGGACTACTGCATGTTATAAGATGAAACATGGGCTCGCAAAAACTATTAAGGAAATATCATTAAAACTTTAAAGAAGACTCCATTTTCTCTAAATTTGGATGAAGTACTAGCAATGCTCAAGAAAGTATACTGGCAATATTGGTGCAGTTTATGACAACAATCAAAATGAAGTTGTAGTTCATCCATTTTGCATCTCTAAAGATGGAATCTTGCAATTCAGAAGCTGTTTTAAAGCAGTTGTTAATACTATTGAAGATAATAATATTCCATGGGCAAACTTAATTAGTGTATTAATGGACTCATGTAACACCATGCGTGGAAAAAAAAAGGGTGTTGAAACCAGACTACGATCAACAAAAGCACCCCACTTATTAGATATTGATGGTGACACATGTCACACAGCTAATAACTGTGCAAAAAAATTGCTTCATGTTTTGATAGATACTTAGAAGATTGTTTGATGACATCTATTTTGATATGAAAAGCTGCAGTAAAAAGAGGAAAATTTTTTCAAAATCTGTGAATCCCTTCCATTAAAAAACTTAAGCCCTTGAAGAGACCAGACCATAGGTGGATGTACATTTTATGTGTTTTAGAAAGAATCAAAGATCTGTGGGATGCTCTTATTGCATTTTATTTTCACTACTTGGATAAAACTGATAAAGGGGATTATTTTTCTTATGTTGAAACTGTATACAATAAAAGAAATATTTCTGCAGCTCAGAAAAAATTGTTGAAGGGGTGTAGTCTTGCTTGCATTCCCAACAACTCACAAAGGATGCTTTAGCTCGGAAAAAAAAGAATACTAAATGGGTTATTTGTTATGCAAAATAAAACTTTATTGCATATGGCATTATATTCAGCAGTATTACCAGAGTTCAACACATATATTAAATTATTTGAAACAAAAAACCCAATGCTTCATTTAATACATTCCAGTATTTATAAATTGATGGCAAAATTTTTCTTTTTTTTATGAAGCCAGAAAATGTAGAGTGCACATCTTATAATGATTTATTAAAGGTTGAGGTCACAAATCCAGAATTCCATCTACCTAGCAAAGTAATATTTACTGGTGCAGAAGCTTCCACTCCTGAAAGAAATTATCAAAAAAATCATCCAATAGCAAAAGAATTCCAAATTTCTCTGATGAAAGCTTATACTAATACAGCACAGCATATGAAACAGAAATTACCCCTTAAAAAATTCATATCTAATTAGTTTTTACAGCATTAGATCCAGAGCTAAGAGGTAAAACCAGTACAATATAGCTTTTGAAAAATTATCATCTTTATGTCCCATATTTTTAGTGATAATGAAAAGTCAAAAGTAGAAGCTGAAAAATAAGGTATACCAGAGTGATATTGATATCACCAAAGAAATGCTCTACACATCTGATGAAAGTGGAAATCAAGTCAAGTGTACAATTGATAAATATTGGTCTAAAGTTTTTAATTTAAAAGATGATTTCACAAATGATTATAAGTATCCTACATTGGCTAAATTGGTCAAAGCCTGCCTTAGCTGTTTCCATGGCCCATTAGTGGAAAGTGCATTCAACTTAATGGATACACTTGTCACTGACTATAGAACCTCTCTTAAGATTGATTCCCTAGATGCAGTGCAGACTATTAAATATGATTTAATGGCTTCTAAAGAAACCTCATGTGAAAAATATGGCTAAAACAATCCAATGACTGATCCAATTCACAAAGATCTCTTACTGAATATGAACAGAAGTTGGAAAACATATCAAAAGGACTTAAAAACATGTATTTCAGATGAGTCACCTATAAAAGTCTCTGAAAAGCCTTCTACATTAGCAGAAAAGCAAACTGCTTCTACCTCTGCATGTGCAGTTCTCGAGGAAATTTCTTCAACTGTAAATGAGGAAAATAAAAGTCAACCTTCCTGCAATTATGAAGTTACCACAAAAGAAAGACAGCCCACAAACATCAGAAAAAAAAAAAAAAAAAAAAAGAAATAATAAAAAAATAAATAAAAATAAAATAAATAAAAAATGCAGCAGAAATTAGATAATTTTTTTTAAAGAATTAATTAAGTAATTTAAAATATTTACATAAAATGAATACAATAAAATATTACATAAATAGTTTATATGTTTGAAATTTATGGTTATTAATTTTGCAAAAAAGTATTCATTGAACTTTTAATTAGGTCATTCAATACTTTATAATTGTAATTTTTCATTTCTCCCCCCCCCCCCTTCTCAAAACTCCAAAATGTTGGTAGTAAGTCCGTAAAAGTTTCAGGGGATGTTTTGGGGTCCCACAAACACCCCTGTCCTAGGCTAAAGTAACTAATATTTAAAATACAGTAAAAACATGTCTATTAGGTATTTCAGTATCTGGAAATCGCAAGTTACCAGCACATTTTCAAATTTTCTTTAGCTTTTAACCCTTTGAAAAATTAAGCAAATGAGAGATGTATTAAGCATGTATAGGACACTATTGCCAAATAATGTAATTTAGTGCCAATAATGGATTTCATGTTGCACTATAATTGTTCTGATAACTTCACATTGGTTAATGTAAACCTGATTAATTCTTGATAAACAGTTTAGTTTCTGTAAAGAATGATAGAAGTGAATTGCCATTTATTAATTTTTCCATTACATTTTGAAAAAAATTACTAAAATTTAGGCCTTTCCCATGCTTGTTATTATTGTAGGGTTAGCTGTGGGTAGGGTACAAAAAATGACTAGTTTTTGTGATTTTCATGATGGTTATGACTAAATCTCTTATTTTCAGGATAGAAAGTAATTCAATGTCGTAAGTGATATAAGATTACTGTGAAGATATGTTGAAGCAGTTTGTATGAAATGTTGTAGTCAGACTTGAGATGCTAATAAAACTTTTATTAATTTTTAGTTTCTGGTGGTTGGGAATTCAGACATAATTTTGATAGCAGTTATTCTTAATTTTTTATTTGAATTCTTAAAATTAGATATTTAAGTGATGTATCTGTTATATGGCTATGGTTATAAAATTCATTATCTTTTCTAGGAGAAAATTCTGAATCTCAGCAGAGTTTCTTGGATAGCCAGAATCCACATTTAAAATCAACAGAAATAATTAGTGATAGTAATATTTCATCGCCAAGGAACTTGTGTGGAAAAAAGAAAACTCTTTCTTCTGTACGTAGCAGAACTTCTGCATCAAAGAAGCATCAGCACCAAAAAACAAGGCATGATTCTAGTTCTGATAATTCTCAGCAAGAGGTACCACATCGAAAAATTAAAAGAGAACAAAATTCTGATTGTGATTACTCTCCTCCTCGGAATCGCGAGCAACATAGTATTCGGCATGATTCTGATAATGACTATTCACCACCATGCAATTACAAAAATGATGATCAGAAACGAAAAAGGCATGATTCAGATAGTGATCTTTCTCTTTTGAGAAGGGAAAATTATAGCATGATTGATTACAGTGCAGAAAAAGGTTCCGATAGATCGGGCGATAGAAAAAAGTTTTCACCTTTAAGAAGTAATGTGTCTCATGGTAAAAATAATGCACATAGAAAGAAAAGGCATGATTCTGATAGTGATTTTTCACCTGAAAGAATTAAAAGCAGATCATCACCTGTTCAGGAGCAAAAGTTGAAGAAAACTTCTATGAATAGGAGGGAATCTGACAGTGATTTTTCTCGTCCCAGACCATTTAGAAGTCAAGGGAAATCACCTTCAGGTAATTTTTTTTTTTTTTTTAACTTTTTTTAGTAGTGTACTTTTTTAATAGTAAAATTTCTAGTAATGGGATTTTTTTTTAAAAAAATTATGGCTGTCTTATTCAGTCAGCTAAAAAAAAAAATTAGGTAATTTAAAATTTAGTTATTCTTCCTTTGTTTTTTCTAAAAATTGAATCTTAGATAGAGGGGAGAGAATCCAAAAGGCTATCATTAAATTATTTTGTAACTGCAAAAAGAAATTAAATTTTTAATTACCTAAACATTTTTTAATTTAATCATATCTTATGAAGTTATTTGGGGGGAATTTTGAATTTTTGTATAATAACCTTTAGAAATTCACTGTCGAGAAGTGTGTAGGTGTTCTGTATTGTTTTTCTTTAAACAGTTCTAAGTACAATAAAGAAATTATCACTCAAGATGTGAAAGTGGTAATGGTTCTGACTGCCATACTGAAGGGTTTGGGTTTCAATCTCAGAGAAGACATGAATGAAATTGTCTGTTCCTTTACGGGAGGCAACGTTGGCCCACCTATTAAGTGCCTGCATAATAAAGTGAACATTGCTTCCAGCCTTTGTAGTGGTCAGTGCTTATAATGGCTAGTGCCTGCAATTGGCTGGGCATGTGGGGGAAGAACTTGTTACTCAACTAATTTCATACTAATTTTGCACTTAGGACATTCATATACATTTAAAATCAAACCATAATTCATGCGTCACGCACCTTTTGCTATCACATGCCTTTTGCCTTCTTGCAGTGGAATCAAATAAGTAAAATCCGTACTTTCATCAACTCTTTCAATGCCAGCCATTTTGCTCAAACAATTATCCATAAGAATCACATTTAAATGAGGACTATTCCAAGAACCTGGTTAAATATGATAAACGGTAACCGTAAGTCCTAACGGTTTTCCTAGATTGGCATAATTTCAACAAAAACAGGAGCTTGCCAGATTTAGCTAGGTTTCCCAACACTTGGGGACTTGCATGTAATCTCGAGTCTAACCTCTATATAATAAGGAAGTTTTAGAGAATCTCAAAACTGCAGTTGGAAGAAATCAGTCCCAGGAGTTAGCAATTGGATTGAACTGTGTCTCTGCTCGTTTGATTCTTTCCATCCTGATCTGAATCCACTTCCTGTTCCCGATCTTGTCGTCAGAGTTATTGTTAGTGTGTAGTTAGTTGTAAAAAATTGACAATTCACTTCAGTAAGCAAACATTTTTAATCTGATCCTATAAAAGCAGTTTTGCTCGTATAAAATGAGGAGTGCTTTCTGTGATATTGCACTTGGTACATCATCTATCCTAAACATCCACTGGCACTTGCCCAACCTTTAAATCAAATATATATTATCGTATTCTTCATTCGAGTAGTCTATCAAGCTATTCCTGAATGAAGCACATTGCATTGATGCTACTTTGTCATCAACAACCAGTAACTTCTGCCTCAGCACATGTTTTACATGATGCTGCTTATATCAGACAACATATGAATGAAATCAGCAATCTGTTGTTTGTCACCTTCCCTTTCCCCTCACTGTCAAAAGAAAAAAAGGGCAGTTAATGAATTAAATTAGTGTATGCTGTATACATAAAATAAATACTTCTTTCTGCATGGAAATTTAAATTCTGTTTGTAGTAAAAAATAAATAAATAAATTGTGTCTGTGTAGAAATCTGAATGTAATATATACAGTTCATTTTGTCATATCAAAAGCATTTAGCTTTTAGCACTACGTATAAACTTGAATAAAAAATGTTCTTGCTTACTATGAAAGCTATGTATTTTTATATTTCAGATGAAAAAAACCGACCAGTGAAAACATTGTCAGGTCTTAAGGCTGGTCTTCAAAATGCAGCAATTTTAAAACAAGAAACACAAGAACTACGAGAAAGAGAGAGAAAGCAAATTAATAAGGTGGGTGTAAAAGCATGTCAGAGTGGCATATCTCGTGATTTAGGTGAGAGACTCCCAGTTAGTGACTGTACTCATGGCAGCTCGATTTGTAACATATTTCTCCTGGTGTTTCCTTTTTCCTAAAATTTTTTATCATTTTTATGTAAATTGGCATAATATTTCTCTATTTGTACCCAGAAACATAATTTTCAGCATTTGAAATTGTTTGATTTTTTCCTAGATTACATATTAAAAACAAAAAAAAAAAAAAAAAAAAAAAAAAAAACATTAAACAGCTACTACTATGCTTGAGTAGATGGGTCTAAAAATTAGAGTTGGCAAATTTCTTCCCCACTGAAGGGAAAAAAATCAAACTGGCTGGAATTAAGGGGTTTCTTCTGTTATAATAGAAGATACTCATTTTTAAACTTATTTCATATTTTTATTAATAAATCTATATTTATATGTAGTATTATATTAATAATTTAAATATTTTCTTATTCTGTATAATTAAACTAACCTTATTTCTTTTCTTGTAATAATATATATATATATATATTTTTTTATGTGTATGTGCATACATACAATGCACATTTGGTAAAATTTGTAGAATTTAGCAAAGCACTGAAGAAGGAACTTTACTTTTAGAATAGCAAAATTTTTAGAATTTAGGAAGGCACTGGGCAGCAGAATTTAGGACTTGCAGGTACAATCTCTGCACAACTTCGTAACCGAAACAATTTAATTTAAAATACTTCATAATCAAAACCATATACAAAGAAACTATCAATGTGGTGAACACATTACCCAAAATTACGTGTAATTACAAAAATATTCCAATATACGAGCTTTACTCCGCAAATTTAAACAAAGTCAGCAACAACAGAGAGTAAAAAACACTTACGAAGTATATAATTAAATTAAAATTAATTTTTCAAGTTTCAAAACTACCAAAATTTAATAAAAAAGTGCTTAAAGTTTTTTTTTTTTTAATTTCCGTAAACATTTTTAAAGCTGCAGCTTTAAAAAAGATTTTAAATTACTTCTCTGGAAAAAAAATGAAATCATTTTCTTAATTCTAGTTTTATAAAGAGCAAATTCTTTAAATTATAATTTTCATTTCCAATCTATAGCCAATAAATTACTGTCATTGTATTCATATTTCAAGAAATTGCATCTGACACACATAGCTGTAACACGTAAAAAAGAACTGGTTCTGGAGTTTTTTCATATTGCCATGAATTTTTAGATCATGAATGTAATAACACATACACAGCTAATTATATTATAGTTATGATTATGAAATAGATGAGAAAGTTGAAAATTGCGATATAATAAATTCCAACTTTCAAGAAATAAAAATGGTGTAAACTGCGGTCCAGCAAAATAGTCATATTACGTCATTTCACTTGTTTTTAGTTCCTTCAACATATAGTACCAATACTTGTACATTATTTAAAAAGAAAAACAAATACAAAGCTGGGAAAGTTGTGGCTGCCACAGGAGCATATCGTTAATGTATGTTTTATATAAAATGCTGAGTAATGAGAGCACATACTATTATGCCATGTATGTCCCAGTAAAACTGAAAATCTTCAACTGATCAGAGCACTCCTAGCTACCCAGTATCATATACACAACTTTTACGTATATAATAAAAATAATATAGTATTTGGAAATGGTCTCGGATTGCATGTAAACCGAATGCACAATCTGAAAACAGTGTTTTCTGAAACAGGCCAGAATTTTTTTAATTTAACAAAATGAAAATTTTTAACTAACAAACTTATTAATTATTTAAAAAGTATTATTATTTATTTATTATTTATTAATTATTTAAAAATAATTTAAATTTTAAATTTCATTTACTTTATATTTATCAAAACATATATAAGCAATAATAATCATTAAAGAAAAGAATCATAGTTAAAGAAAAAAATCAAAACTTTTTTATTTTCTATCTGAAATCTAAAGTTGAGTAAATGCAAGGCATTTTTGTTGATTGTGCCTTGTAATTCAAATATATTGATAGCATATTTTCTATTTTCTATTTGACATTTATTTTAAATAATTCTAACATGCTTAATTAATCATTAAATAAGTTAAATTGAAAATTAACAAATTATGAAAACTTATAAAGTTTACAGAGAAAATTTTCCAAATAGTACACCACTTGATAATAAATAATGACTGTCTAATCTGTTTCTCTTATTTATAACATTTTTTGCCAATGCATAAATAAAAATACGTATGTTTGTACATAAATAATTAAAAACATCTTTATCTCATACTTCTTGATATTTGATGGCATTTCGATTGTGATAAAGTGTATATATAGCCTTGAGAAAAAATAATTAGAAATTATGTTCATTACAAATTGTAAATACTCTTTGGTCAATCTTTTCTTATTAATTTATAACTGTGAAAAACGTTTTTCATATAGAAATGCATTCCCTAATAAAGAAATTATTATTAGGCCAAAAATTCATAATTCAGTTGTTATACAATAAAAGTAAATAAAATCTTTATCTTCAAATCTTTGAATAAGATTTATATCACACTGTAAATTAACTAGTTTAATTTACTGACTTTCTGGTGTATATTCATGTTTGTTTTTAATGTTAAGAAAATAATGTGAATTCTGACTTCAAATAACTAAAATCTTGAAAGCTTTGCAACAAATACACTATTGAAATGTCTTCACTGGCCACGTAAAATTGCTTCGGCAGCCATTTTGAGGCCACTCGTGTGTAACACCTATATGGATAATTTTTGTAAACTGAACTGTTATTGAGGGGAAAAAAAAAAAAAAAAAAAAAAAAAATCTGCACTCAAAAACAACAATTAAAACCTTTTTCAAAAAGTCTTAATTTAGGTACATAATCTTTCAATAAAATCTGTACTAGCACATGTAATCATTGAAAAAATATTATGCAAATTTGGAATCATAAAAACTATGAACAGAAGATTATCAATTGCCAGAAGCCACTGCACAGCAAAAAATTATAATGATTTATCTACTGTCCCCCTTATAAATCTAGCTATCAGTTTTTTTAATGTGTGTTTAATTTTAACCAGCTGCATGATGATATATCTGGTCGAAATGCTGAGACGATCATTAGAGATCGAAAAACTGGGAAAAAGCGTGATATTGAAGCTGAAAATCGCATCAAAGAAGAAGAAGAAAGCAAAAAGGCTGAACAACAGGAAAAGTATTCAAAGTGGGGCAAAGGGTATGCATTATTTATTCTAACAAAATTTCTCTAATTGTAAATTTGCTGTATCCTTAATGTCGAATGTAAAATATCACCAAATCTAAGGTTTAAGTTGTCTTATATTACTCTAGCCAGATATCTTTACTTAAACCTTTTCATCCTTATTGTTATATAAATCTTTGAAGAACAATTAATTCTATTCAAGCTCCTACAAGATGGCTCTACAAGCTTACAAAATGTGAGCATTATAAATTAAGATTTTAAATAAGGAAAAAATTAATTGATTGTATGCTATGTGAGATCCATAAATTATATGGGTTAGTATGATGGATTTGAATGCATGCCACTAGACCAAAATCGAGCGTTGTCTAAACTTCACTTACCAACTAGTAAGGAACCCAAACTACTAGTTCTTTATAGGCTGCCACCGAAAGTCTATTCATGCAGCTTAAACAACCATGACCAGATAAAAGTTATGTTGTGATTTTGCTTAATCAGTTACAGTTCTCTAATAATCCAGTAAGTATTTACAGGAATGCTGCCAACCACATTATGCAATATCTTCAAACCTCTATAGATGCTACATTGTCCTTTTCAAAGGACGTTGATATCCTTGGTTACAGTGGCTCGGACTGTGGAGGTGATATTGGGGATCGGAGATCACTCATTGTATGTGTTTTCCTCATTGGAGGTGATGCAGTTTCATGGTGTAGTAAGTATCAACCATCAACCTTACTACACCAGGTGGCTGTGTCTGCAGCTTTTAAAGAAGCTTTTAAAGAAACCATGTGGCTTTTAAAGAAACCATGTGGCTCAACAAAATTGTTACAAAACTTGGACTTAACTACTGCAAAACCAGTTTTCTTATAGTGTGATAACAACAGCGTTATTGATCCCAGCAAAAATAGTGTGTAGCATGGTAGATCGAAGCATATTGAACATCATTTTGTGCGAGAAGCTGTGAAACTTAAGCATATTGACGTACAAAATATGTCCACTAATGATATGATTGAGATTTTTTGACAAAAACTGTGAATAGTGCAAAACATGAAGTGTTTGTATGGATGATGGGTAGACTAATGTGATTCTTTTTTTTTTTTTTTTTTTAGATTAGACTTTTATATTAAGCCCCCCATCTTGCCAGGCAAAAAACGTCATTGAAGCTATCTTCCATAACTTTGTGCTTGTAATATTGTTAAATTTTTTACTAATAAATAATTACCACTTATGATCAACCAGAAATGTAGTGAAAACATGTTTTAAAATATTAGGTATTTTAAAATATATTGATTTCAATGCAGTTTTATTGAAATATTTTTGTGTCTTCTAGAATTGAGCAAGAAGAAATTCGAAAAAACAAATTATCAGAAGATTTATATGAGATAAGCAAGCCTCTTGCAAGATACCAGAATGATGAAGATTTAGAAGAAATGTTAAAATCTGTGATATATGATGATGACCCAATGTCAGCATATATGAAGAAAAAAAAACAAAAGACTGCTGGTCCAAGTATGTTACATAACTTTTTTTTTTTTTAGTTTCTTTCTTTGCATTTTATTATCAGTTACAAAATTTTATTTTGGGGCAAAGTTGAAGTTTTATTGTATTAGTAACATATATTTTATTGCAAAAATTGTATGAAATTGTAACTTAAGCAATTTTTTTTCCTTATGCATTTACACTTTTGTGTACTATATTTGCACTTTTGTAATATAGAAATGCATTTCAGAAGAAGCAGGACTGAAATGCATTTCATAGGTGAACTAAATTTACCAGGCTATGTCTGCAAATATTGAAGGTAATTGCAAAATGCTTTTCACCTATTCAAGTGTTCACCACTGAAAAATTTGTGGTGATTGCTGTAAGGAACTTTGAAATCTTTCTTTTTAAGAATTCTTGAAAAGGTAATATTTATGAATGTTTTTTATTTGTTTAGTCTCCTTCTCTTTGGGCCCACCAGTAGCTGAATGGTGAAATTGTTGAATGCTGGTGGTTCAGTCCACTTTCAAATCTCAACAAATGACTAGCTGCATGGGAGTTTTTGGGTTTTTACCACCTATAATGTAAATACAAACCAGTTTCCCCAGAAAAGTCCATCATAAAAGCATCCTTTCACTTAAGCTTGTAGGCACACTTAGGCACATGATTTGTCAAAATTTAAATAATCCAATCTCCTTCTGTCTTTCTCTGAATAACTGCATCCCAGCATTTTGCAAACTAGAATTCAGAGTTCTACTTTGTTAAGGGTTGCCAGGTTACGTGGAAAACCGGGAAAAGTCAAATTTAAAAATTGACCAAAAACGTCAGGGTATTGAAATATTTTAGTAAAAATCTGGAAAGTTGGGGAATTTCATACAGCTATCTCTAAAAACAGCAATTTTCGCACCAACATTGAAAGCAACCACTTTCTTGGCAAATTATGTATCACATGAGTGAGTATCATTCAAGCAGCTAGCATGGAGCCAGTTTTCACAGTACCAATCAGATTGTCTTTCAGACCTCCAGAATCCATAAATTCTGCCAGAGGGTGATGTTGGTAATAAATGTGTTTTCATGGACAACAACGCAACATGTCATTGAACATTCGCCGTCCAGGAATGTAAAAAATGCAAGGATATTTAACAGCTCATATGGCCACTATGTTCTCCAGATCTGAATCACACTGAAAATATCTGGGATGCTTCAAAGAAAAGTCTTGCTGGTCAAATGGCCTTTAATAAACAAGGACGTGCACTGACAGAGGAATGGGATAAATTACCCCAACAGCTGTTGGATAATGTTGGACAAGGTATGACACAACATGGGAAATTTACATAACCCTCCATGATGACCATATCCTGAATTGACATCTTATGCCAGCATGCCTGCGAAACGTAATTGCATGTTTTTCACTTTTATGTATTCAGCACAATATGACTATTTTGTACCTTGAACTTTTTTCAAAGCTTTCTAGATTTTAGAGCACAATAATGGGAAATTTAAATCACCCTCCATTATGACCATATCCTGAATTGTCATCTTATGCCAGGATGCCTGTAAACCGTAATTGTATTTTTTTCACTTTTATGTATTCAGCACAATATGACCATTTTGTCACTTGAACTTTTTTCAAAGCTTTCTAGATTTTAGAGCACAATAAATTATCTTTATTGTTATGTCCTAGTTGTTTGGCATTATTTTATTTCACTTGGCATCCAAGTGCACTTACTCTTTAATTTGCTATATAGCTATTTGTGATTCGTCCTTAGCAATTGTCCACCAGTATATTTATTTGTTCTGAAATTGATTTTCCGTTGTTTTGGTTTTTAAATAATTTGCATTTAAAATTTTATTTTCAAGAAATAAGCAGTGGCAGAACTTTTGGCTGAATCCAGAAACAAACATGTTTTCATATTTCAAAATCTGTTTAATTTGAATATAATAGTGTGTGCATCCCTTTTTTACACACTTCTTTCAGTAAATAAAAGCAATCAATACTTTTCCCCCTTGAAATATCTGATTTTTCTCTGCCCTCCCCTCATTCCCGTACAAAACAAAATGCCTTATGGGTAATTTTGCTGTAAAATAATAATGAGTCATCAAGACTAACCATTTAATATATCTATATTCACCCAAATACTATTGATTAACTCTGTTTTAACTTTATTTATATAATTTAATGTGGCTTCTTTCTTTTAAATTTATTTATTATTAGTTAATAATACTCTAAAATTTCAGGCAATTTTCTTTGGCATGCTTGTGAAACTAATTCTAGCAGTATTACTTCAATAGTTATCAAATAATTAAACAAATTATATTTAATTTGCATTATTTATATTAAAAGTTTTTTATCAAAAGTCTGTTGACTTTTAACAGAAAAACTGCTTTTTGACCTTTTAGAATTTGCCAAGTGTCATAATATTACTAGGGTGATTATTCAGTAAACAATAACTTCCATTCTAGTATCTTAAATATGTTAAAAACAATAAGGTTGTCATTCATTACATAATTTTGTCACAATTAATGGAAATGGTATGGTGTTGGTGTATTTAATTATGGCAAAGCACACTAGGGCTATCTGCCTAAGGGGAGGGATGCCTTTCGTGGAGGACTTTCTAAGGGAAACTGGCGTCGTACACGTTACCCATGGGGAAAACCACGAAAACGCCCATGCAGCCAGCCCGTTCGCGGGATTCAAACCTCGGACCGAACTACCAGTGTTCAGCGTCTTTACCGCTCGGCCGCTGGTGGGCCACAATTAATGGAAAAAAAATCCAGTGTTAAAAAGTTCATACAAAATCACTGTTCATTCAATCACTGTAAAATCAATGAATTTCATTTCTGATTTTGTTTATTGCTTAGAGGGAATGTATTGTAAGTATTTAATTTCTTCTGTAAATGGATGTTTTTATGCATGTAAAATTTAATTTTTAAGTTATACTTTTAACTAATTACATTTGTGCTGACATTTTATTATAAATGCATTTCAATGTCTGACTGATATATTTCAGATGCATTAACAATCACTTCTGTTGATTAAAGTACTCTTTTCATGTAATTAAGAAAGAAATTTATTTGTACTTCACTATTTGTGATACACCTGCTTATTGCTGAAGAGAATGGTGTTTTAGTATGCTAATATTGTTTTCTTAGTTCGGCAAGTTATTGAGCAAAGCAGCTTCTATTATAGTTATAATAGCAATACTTGGGAGATAATGCACATATTAGTCATATGTAATTGGCAAATTTTTGTGTTTGGAAAAAAAAAAAAAAAAAAAAAAGTACCATAATTAACCTTTTGAGGCCAGGGCTTTGGTGTCAGTAAAAGCTACCAAAGGATGGGGAATCTTAACTGAATGCTTTCCCTCCTTTAAGAAATTACCTCCTATTTGCAACAAAGATTCTTGTGTGTAGTTTAATGGATTCTCAGAGCGGTGCATTTATGTCACAAAAGGAAGACTTTTTGAAAGATATAAGTGGTTAAAACCCTAGGGACATTAAATTTGACATTTCACCCCACTTTTCAGCCTGGAAAATGGGGGAAAAAGACATGACCACTAAAGTGGACAACCCCGTCTTTTCAAAGAGAGGACTCTATGGCCACTATAATGGCCATCCCGTCTTCAAAAGGTTAATATACTCTCAGCTTAGCCAACAGGTACTATGTGGATAAACTGGAATTTTCTTAAATAACAGGTGGAAAAGTCTGGGAATTTCATTGTCGTGTTTGAGTGGCAACTTTGTAAGCTTCATAGTTTCCTAGGTACTAACCGAAGTAAATTCGCTTAAGCTAAAAATCTTGTTTCTTCATGAGAAATTGTACTTTTGTGATGCACATGTGAACATGTTGGTATATTTTAGATTTTCTCAATATATGTTTCAAAGTCTGACATACAGCTGTGGGACCATGTCCTATTATAACATTTAAGTTTTACCTTTGATCTACTTAAACAAGTGCTGTTATTCTTTTATAATGATAGAGCAAAAAACTGTGATGGTCTGTGGCATTTTCTACGTTATGCAGTTGCACTTAAAATTGCCCTTGTGTGTTGGAGAATATTCTAGAATGAAAATTATTAAATAGTCATAATATTAAACTTGGAGTTAATAAAAATGCTGCTGTGTTTTCTTTTAAAAGTTAAGTCATGTAATATATTAGCTCAATACATTTTTTAAGTCAGGCTTCGTAGAAGATTGAGTATGATTTTTAGAAGGGTATTTTGAGAAGCAAAACGGTATTTTATATTAGGACCAATACATTATCTTATTTTATACATGGTTCCTACAGTCCTTAAAAGTACTTAGGTTTTTTTGGAATCGACTTTTGGGCCTTAGAAGTTCTTAATTTCAGCCAAAATCAGAGAGAGGTCCTTAATTTTAATGTGGGAGCACGTGCGCTCATATGAGTTAATGAGTGTGTACACGCTGTCCAAAAGACCTAGTTCGTGTTATTTTGTAGAAAAAAATCAAGTCATCAGAAACAGTTTTACATCTATGCTAATAATAAATTTTTATGATCAAACTTAATATGCACATTAAAATTTTTAGTTTCTCCAAATGCTTTCATGATATAAAATTTTTTAAAGAATATAATATCGTCCAACAAGTGTCAATACAAGTGTAAAATATTTACTGTTACTTGATAAATTTTAAGTTGATTTTATTCTCAAACTTGTTTTATATTTATGTTTATTACATTATGTTTAATAATAAGATATCCTACTTACAGGTCTATTTTATTCTTAATATGGTATCACAAAAGTAAAGTTCAAGCATAGATAATATCTTTAATTGAATTTGTTTAGTTCTCATTTGCTGATAGGTCCTTAATTTTTTTCATTAATGGTCATTAAAAAGTACTTAATTTCCATTTAAAGTACTTAATTTCCATGTGCCAGAAATGTGTACCAGCCCTGCTATAATTTTATTTTTGTGTTTTATGCATTTGCTGGAGTTTCATTTAACAACTGAAAAATAGCATATTTTTTATTATTATAAGAAGCAACTGTAGTTAATATTATAGAGCTTGCATTTTTGCAACTTGTAATAGATATGATAATACCTATTTTTAAAATATAATTTTATTTATGTATTTATGTATGAATAATTTATGGTCTGGAAAATGATTTATTTCTATATACATTCTTTTCATGAAATGCATTCTGACACTTTTATAAAATAACATACTTGTCTTTGAACATAATAATGAGCAACTAATTTCTTTTTAACTAATATTAAATTGATGAAAAAAATTTCTTTTGAATTTGAAGCTTCATATTATGGCTAATATTGGAACTAATTTAGGGACTCTCATTTAATGGAAAAAGGCACATGAAAAGATCAGAGTGAAAATATTAGATTAAAAATTTAGTTTTGTATTTAAATATCATTAGAAGAAACATCATTTAAGATCTATAAACATTTATAGAAAAAAATTATGTAATGGTTACACTTTTTCTCAGTGTGCACAAACTTAAGGACTTTTCTACAATTTTATGCTTCTGTTGTACTGTAGATTTTTATATGAAATATGATGCATTTTTTTGGTTTAATAATTTATTAATTAAATTTACTATTCATTTATCTGTGAATAACAAAAAACTGCACTTTTGTAATTTTGAAGTTTATAATGATTGATGCATATTTTTCTCCGTAAAGGTATGCCTGTTTATAGTGGTCCTCCCCCACCTCCAAATCGCTTTGGCATTCAACCTGGATATAGGTGGGATGGTGTGGACCGATCAAATGGCTTTGAAAAGAAGTATTTTGAAAAGCACAATTCTACAAAAGCTATTCAAGAAGAAGCATATTTATGGAGTGTCCAAAATATGTAATGTTAAAATGTAAATTATTGTATATTTTGTAATATATTCAGATGATATGTAATTATATTTTAATAGACATGTGTGTTCAGGCATAAAACAATCCAATAATATTCAAGTTTTTCAAGAAATTCATTTATTTCTGTTTTTCTATCATATGCATTGCAACTGGCTTATCACAGTTTCACCATAAATTTTAGCTTTTTGTGAGGAAATGTGAAATGAGTATAATTTGGGTTTATAGCAGATGCCAGATATTTGTGCGATAGCCAACTTAGATGATCATGCAAACACTCAGACAAGTGAATAATGATCACTTTCATCCAGCAGAATTACATAAAACACATAGATCAAAGTTTACATAAATGTATAAAGAAGCAAACTTGCTTGGGCTAGAATAATAATGTCACAACTTAAAGCAGTACATTTTCTCTGTCGGTTTTGTAGAGGAATGTTGTATCGTAAGTGTTTATTTACATTATTTTGTTTACCTACTTTCAATCACTACGGCTTTATCTTGTAGAAAATCAGTATTTTGTTTTCAGATATCGGGAGTTCCTATATCGGACATCACACCAGCTTTCTAATTTGTATTGACATCTGCTGTGTTGTCAGTTAAAGGAACTGTGAATTCCAGGTTAAATTTCTACGAATTTAGTGGTCTTAAAGGAAACTTCCCTCCTGAGAAAGTTACTCTAACTATTACATCAAACTCATTATACTTGTCATGTCCATGAAGGGAGAGAGGAAATATAATTTTGGTTTGCAGTTATTTGCTACCACATTACCTATCCTTTTTTTCACCTATCCTTTTTTCAAACTATTTCTATCAATTACATTTTCCATCAATAACCACAACCTAGAGTACAGCACATTAGAAACAAATCTTTTCTCTCATAGAAGATATAGTATGCCTGTAAATTGCTACACAGTGATCTGCAATCCTCCTGACAGCAATCTAAATTATGGGAAAGAGGTACATAATATGTGTTCCAGCTTAGGATCATCAAAAAACTTTATGCCTTAATACTTACTATAGTTACACAGTCTCTTTTTACTATTCACAAAGACTTTGTATATCCATTCCACAAATAAGTTTTGTATTCCACATCTATTGTATTAACATTCCTTTAGACATCTGTTTTACACTGTCACAGAAAGAAAGCTCTCTAAAGAACATTTATGGCAGAGTAATAAGGAATAAAATTCGATAAACTGTATCACCTTATAGAAATTTGATGTAGACACCACATTACTTTCTTGTATGGAATATTATATTATATGCATTTTTTGTTGCATTTCATTTAAACGTTTTTCCTCGAATTTCATTAGATTTCTTGTTCAATTAATTCATTTCCCAATTTGCAGCAAGGTAAAAATACATAAAACCTCAAAATATCTTCATTAAAAATTGAAAAATATAGAAAACACCAAATACAGTTAAAACAGTTTTTAAAATTAGAATTTCAACACAAAAACAAGCTATAACCCATTCAGGACAAGCGTCACGAATACGGAATGCAACGATTCCACTCTTATCAGCCCAGCGTCGCATATACACAAAAAGCCCCTGTCAATCTCTACAGCTCAGCATCGCATATATGTAGCTTGAAAACGGAACAATTTATTCCAGTTTTTAAATGCCAGTAGATAGTGCTAAATGGTAAGGATTTTCACATCGATTAAGTTGTGGCTTTTGGCTTTCATGTATGAGCATCAGTTTCTGTTCTGTGCTTGTGGTTTTGATAGAATTATTGGTGTAAAGAAACTGGGAATCAGGGTTCTTTAAGTTAAAGGGATACCAGCCTGTTTGTTTATTTCGTAAAGATTTTTTTTGGGGGGGTCTACTTTTTTACTCTTTGTGTTTTTAGTTATTAGTTATTGCAGCTCAATGCTTTCTTTTTCCTTTTATTTATTTATTTATTATTTTTGTTAGGAGAATGTGGGAAAACATGCATTTAGATGACTATAGCTAGCATAACGTCGCCAAACTTCTGTGATGGACAAACTCAAACCAGTTTTCCTTTTTTATATTATATTAAAACTTAATATAGACTTTCTTGGTTAATTAAAAAGTAACTTTACAGCATTATTACAAAAGGGGAATTTTCCAATGTGTGATGCATCTTGCTTGCTCGGCGAAAAAAAGCCGCCACTGTCCTGTGTATCAATTCTCGTTTTGAATTATTCCATACACAGCAGAATTATTAAATTAGAATTTAATCACCTACAGATAATTACTGCATACTTTTCTTTTACATTTTGTATTTGTAGTTTTGTTTTACAGTTTACATTAAAACATACCAATATCAACTATTTCAATTATAAGCATCTAACTTAATAAGAACATCAAAGATAATTGTGAAGAAAGAAAAAGCAGTTGTAGCCAATAAGCAAATTAATTATACAATCTATCCAATTCCATTCAGTTAACACAAAACAAATTCAAAAGAAGCAAAACTTAAGGTAAATATAGCTGTTATATTGTTTACTACCTTAGGAATATGAATAAATACTGTGGCGTAATCTACATCTTAAACTTTTCTTTCTAAAACATAATGTGCAATTTAAGCTTAATTTGATGGAAACTGAGCTCAATGACTGTATATCATAGCAATATTTACTTACATGGAAACAATTACCTAATATCATCTATGCAGAAAACATGAAGTATAGCTTCACCTGCCTATCACATATTATATTTCTATAATTAGATTCACAGTTGAACCAAAATAATATTAAATTCAACTTAGCCTTTCAAAATTTCTTTTCCCCAGTAACTTGAGAACTCTACTGTCTTCCTCATGTAACATGGTAACATAATAAATATTTACATCATTATAGCAAAGAACAACTTTACAAAGTTACAAAGTTCCACTGTTCAAGTCCTGTAATTACTGTGTCGAGAATACCGACTAACTTGTCAATCGAATTTTTTTTTGTTTTCAGTAACCTCTCTGTCACTTTCTTCACTATCGGGAGCACGAGGGTAAACGCTTTTACGCGCATGCGTAAGTTTGTGGCTTTGAGCTCCAGATTATAGATCATTCCGGATAATGGACATCTGGATTACAGACTTTGTACTGTATTTAAGTTTTTCGTTTAACAGTAATTCCAATTAAAGTGAGAGGAAGATAATATGAAAAGCTCAAAAGAAAGTCATTATCATTAAGTTAGGGAATTTATAAATGAGGTTTTTCAAATTTATTTACATTGTAGGTCTATATATCATATATATTTGACATAAATACAGGATTTATTTCTTGTTTTGCACAAATTTGCTGCATATATGAAAAAATAACAATGTAGCTACATGGTGTATTTTAAAACTATAAATTGTTTAATCTGTTGCTTATTTCTAGAAAAAAATCATGAATGATTATGAGGAAATGTTCTATTGATTACAAGTTGAATCTTAGAAAATAATCAACACAAAATGAATAAGATTGTATTTATTTGTTATGAATATGCACACAAATGAAACTGATGAAAACAAATTTTAATTCTAAGAGTATACAAGTATTGACAAGTAAATGACAAGCATTGCCAGTTGTCAAGATATTGATTGATATTGGAAGGTTAAAGGAGAGGACTCTGTAGAACTCAATACTTGCAACTGTAACAAATATTTATAAAAAATTCTACTTCCAAGATTACAGTTAACTGCCAGCTATCCTTTATTAAAATGGTTTATGGTCAAAATTGTGTATGCAGAATTCATATTAGGATCTGTGCTATTTTTGGTTGCAAAAGGTTTTGTATGAATTTCATGCTCTGTTTAAATAAGTTTTACCCATTTTAGGAACTTTTTAATTGACAGTTTTTTAGAAATGTTTTCAAGTATATGCATTGTGCTTTTTGACAAAAAAAAAAAAAAAAAAAAAAAAAAATGGTTCTGAATAGATACTATCTGTAATAGTTGTATTCCATGAACTTAACAAATGGAAATTTACATTGATCTGCAAGATGCATTCACAGTGGTAAAAAATGTTTAAAAAATAATTTAGATTTGGATTTGCTTTTACTACTGAGGAAAAAGATTTATCTTTTATTAGCTTTGAAATGAAATAAAATGCGTAGGCTAATGCCACTAATAACTATGTGCATTAAGTTTAGCACTTGTAATAACATTGCTCTGATAGTAGCATTAAAAAGAGAGGCTATACTTATTTATAGTAAAGTAATATAAATTTTAAATGATAAACTTAAAATGTGAAGAAAGTCTGTCATAAATAAAATTTGTTTATTGCTTTGAAGAAAAATTATTTATATTCTTTCTCTGGGTATACTCCAACTGCACGAATGAAATGAAAAAACTGTCTGAATGAAATTGAAAATGAATCGTCCTGGTATAGTCCAACTGTGCGAATCAAAATTTCATCTCCTCCTCCACTGTCTACAGGGTTCCAATTTTACTTTTCGAAGCCAATTGTAGCCAAGAGGAAAATAAAGAAATAGAATTACATATCATAATCACAAGAACAAGTAAAGAATATCTAACAAGCAGGCTAATTACTTGAATAACAGTAATAAATTTGAGAGCTAACAAAGAAAATAAAAGGTATTAGTAAACATACATATTAGCATTACAAACTTTCTTTATTATTTACAATATTAGAGCAAAGAGTATTATAATAATATCATAAATTAAATAATTATGCAACATACCAATTATATTTTTTATAAATTGCATCATTAATAGTCATGATGTCTGAACTAGACAGGAAAATTTAATTTAGTTCACTGGCGTGCAAAAGATTATTCCATATCAAAGTGTGCTAGAAATATTTTTTGTTAATTAAAGTAATCATCTAAATGTGTGCAGAAATTTATATATAAATTGAAATCTATATCAACATTAATATGCATTTTGAACACTGCACCAGGGGCTGAGTGGTAAAGTTGCTGAATACTGGTAGTTCGGTCCGAGGTTCGAATCTCGTGAAAGGGCTGGCTGCATGGGTGTTTTCGTGGTTTTCCCCATGTGTAATGTGTGTACGAGCCAAATTCTCTTAGAAAGTCCTCCATGAAGGCATCCCTTCCCTTAGGCAGATAGCCCTAGTGTGATTTGTCATAATTAAATACACCACCATTTTGAACACTGAAGTATAAATTGTAAATAAATTAAAAAAATTATGCTAAGAAGCTTTTTCTAAAATTTATCTAGAAGAAAAGAATAAGATAAACAGTATTGCAAATTAATATAATCAATCAGGCCTCTCAATAAATAAAAGCTTATTTTTTTAACCAAAAATTAAAAATTGGGATGCAAAAGTTTATGTAATATACTTGGAAATATCTGAACATATAATTAATTAGAAACGTCTAATTAAATTCATAACAAGCTAATTAACAGTGACATTAAGCTTAATTTCATTCAATCTAAAACAAGCAATCGATCAGGGGCTCTGCATAACTGAAGTTTTATTTCTATTTTTTGGAATTTTTTTTTGTTAATTATGAAAATTCTGCTGATACTCATAATTATCAATTTATTAATTAAATGTGTATTAGTACTTAAATGTATGCCAAAGTGCATCAGGTGGAAAACAGAATAAATTTTTAAACATTTCTAGTATTAAAATATGGAATTTGTAACAAAGTTAAATAACCTTAAAATAACGTCAATGACTGAAAATGGAAAGCATAATACGGGAATATATTGCAATAATATTAGTGTGAATTTAGAACGACTTAAGAAGTCCAATTTTTAGATTTAATAAAGAGAATTTTTTAAATTAAATTAGAACTCTTTACCTAAAATGGTAAATTTGGAAGTTAAAATCATTCTGCTATCTAAGAAGATTTGTTAATATTTATCTAGGCAAGAAAGTTATTTAAGGTGAGCTACAAATCTGATATTTGATAGGTTGATTATGTATCAGTTTTGTATATGTCATTAATCTATGAATTTTAATATTCAAAACTGATATATATATATATATATATCAGTGACTAAAATCTACAACTTGGAAAGTTTTTAATTCTTGCAGAGAATAAAAAAGATCTGGCTCATCATTCCTTTAAGCATCGTAAAACTTTAAAATGAGTGTAAAAGAAATTTATTTTTACTTTAGCACACGCCACTTTAAATTAATATTAGTTTTGCATGCACAATTTTTAGAATATTGATAAACAAAAATAAAGGCTTGCAGTCTCAATAGAATGTCCATTAATTGTGATAAATGACTTTTTGTAGCACCCAATCTTTTTGGGAAAGAAATAGGGGACAGGAAATGTTGCACAGTTCATGGATTAGATAAGAGGGGGACGGGGATCTCCGGTCAAATTTGGCGCAGTTCGTACCCTACCTTTGAAACATCTACTAACAAAGTTGCGTGAGCTAACATCGGAATTAGCAACCTAAACACTCTTCCCGCTGTTTGGTGCATATCAGCAAGGCTACCGAACGCAAGTTGAGGAAGTTCGTCAAGTGACTGTTAGTGCACACACTGCTGATCGATGACAATACAATTTTGACAGGCTATATTTAATAATTTTTGTGGTTTTTTTTTATTTATGCATTTTCTGTGGATTTCTTTTACTTCCCCATGTGTAACGTGTATACGAGCCAGATTCCCTTAGCAGGTACTGCACGAAGGCATCCCTACTCTTAGGTAGAGAGCCGTCAAGTTATTTGCCATAATCAAACGAAACAAACCGAGTGTTTGAAAATCGTCACATTTTTAGACTATTTGACATTTGCGATTTTATAATTTTAACATCTAAAACTTATTACATATAAAGTTTTTAAATTTTCACACATTTAAATACAAACATTCTCCCTCTTTTAAAATGTGAATGATAAAATAGTATTAATTGAAAAATTTTCTACATTTACAAAGAAATTAGACTTTTTTTACTGATAACATGTAATTAAGACTAAACAGTTTATACAATAAGCTTTTATCTATAATAGATATGATAATTAATGCACTAAAAGGACAAAAATAATTTATTACATAGTTTAATAACAAATAACTAATAATAAAATAACTTCAATGATTAAAAATGGAAAGCTTCATATGACATATATTGCAATAATATTAGTGGGAATTTAGAACTTCTTAAAGAAACCCAATTTTTAGATTTAATAAAGAGAATTTTTCTAATTAAATTAGAACTGTTTACCTAAAATGGTAAATTTGAAAGTTAAAAACCATTCTGTTATCTAAGAAGATTTGTTAATATTTATCTAAACAAGAAAACTTAAGTTGTGCTATAAATCCGATATTTGATAGATTGATTATGTATCAGTTTTATGTATGTCATAATTCTATCCATTTTATTATTTAAAACTGATATATATATACATATCAGCAGCTAAAATCTACAACTTGGAAAGTTTTTAATTCTTACAGAGAATAAAAAAAATCTGGCTCATTATTCTTTTAAGCATCATAAAACTTTAAAATGAGTGTAAAAGAAATTCATTTTTACTTTAGCACATGCCAGATTGTAAATTAATATTTGTTTTGTATGGACAATTTTTACAATATTCAAAAACGGAAGTAGAGACTTGTAGTCTCAATAAAATGTCTCATTAATGGAGATAAGTGACTTTTTGTAGCACCCATCTTCTCAGGAATTCAAATTATTAGAAAGCGGGGATAGAAAAACATCGCCGCAGTTCCGTGGAAATGAGATAAGAGGGGGGAGGTATCTTCAATGAAATTTTGCGCAGTTCGTATCCTACCCTTTCTCTTATCTATAAACCCCCCCCCTTAAGAAAGAAATTGAAAGGTTCTTTCAAGTTATGCTCAAAAGCATTGATTCAGCTCATAAGCTCGAAAGCATAATTTCCTTTTTTAAACAAATTAACTTTTTTTCCTTTTTTCAACAGTTGCCTACAAATTTTTGTTATATTGAATGAAAGATTCTGAATATCTGTATTCGACAAAGGTGCTGAATTTTATACCAAAATTTAAATGTAAATTGCAGTTTGTATGTGCTATTTAGCTAAGTATACTTTTTAATAGTAATTATATAAACTATTTACTTATCCTGATGAATTTTAAACCTATTATCAGAATGTAGATAATATTATTCTGTATTCTTAATCTAGGCAAAACAAGGATATTCTAAACTACACGGTCACTTTTTTCTGTTTATGTACATATAAAGGTATATTTTCTCATTTGTGAAAAGACATTTTTGTGATATGTTACTTAAAGATATACCACTTTTCTAAAACATTTCTTAAATGCATTGTAATCTATGCAAATCCCAGTGCCAACAATTTAAAACAAATATGGTACATTAAAAAAAAAAAAAAAAAAAAAAAAAACTTTTCCCTTTGGCTTATAACTTAATATTAGTCTACCTTCCAGAGTGTAAGCAATTGAAAATAGCTGAAAGCATACATAAACAGAAAAACTGAATCTTTATTTGGCTTTATTTGAACGGAGCGTTTTTGTTTGTTTGTTTAATCTTTTTGCTTTTGTTGAAAGGAAATACACCAAATCTCTTTAGTATTGAAATTAGTAAAAATAAACATTTCATTCTACTCACTTTAACCAAATATTGCATTTTCACAGTTTAATAGTGTTCATGTCTTGCACCAGGTAAGTTTAAAGCAATTTAAAATGAGTCCTCTCCTTACTATTTTTAAATCCTTACTGTGATATGTACCCAAAAGTTCAATAAAATTGATTTAATTTAGCGAGTATATGTAATATAGACATTCCTTTGTTCGATATATCTCAAAAATCGTAGATAGAGAAAAATAGAGTGCACCTTTTCATTTTTCCTCACATGGTACTTTGTCAACCTTTGCTACGGGGAGATGATAATGTTTACTTTGATCAATAAATATGAAACTGTTCTTTATCTTAGAAAATACAAAACCATAAATATTGATTGTAAGATCAGCTAATTCAAAGATTTTACAGTTTATAATTAGCTGAATATGCAGTCAAGGGTCTTAATGATTTTTCTAAAATGGCAGAACATATATATCCTCCATTTCTGAAACATATATATATATATATATATGTACACTTTTCTGTTGTTTCAGTAGTATTTCTAGAAAGCAAAGCAGAAATATCTGTTACTAAAACTATTTTGTAATGCATATTTTTTTTCCAATAAAGTAAAACAATATAGGGTAGTTTTTTTTTTTTTTTTTTTTTTTTTTTTTTTAAATTAAAGTATTCGTAGTTGTGAGCAAACCATTTGATTTTAAAATTTAACAAAACAATGGCTAGCCTTGGAGCCACATAAATGAAACGAATTTGAAAGGCAGAAGCCAAGCTCTAAGAGTTAATTAGCGAAATGAGTTTGTTGATAGAGGCTTTATTCTTGAGCATAAGCAACTTGTCATTGGTGATTTCCAAGTCTTGATAGTCGCGACATTGATGCATCTTTGCATGGAGATTTTCAAGAAGATGAATGTGTTTATTGCATTTATGTATTTTATTGTACTATATTGCTTTTAGTATTTTTTAAAAGAATAGAATTTAAATTCATCCTACTTTCAATATTGTATGAATATATCTAAGACATGGCACGCTAAAGGAAATTTATGTCGAAAATAAAGAAGAGAAGTTTTTTCGGATTCAAAAGACTAGAAATTATACTATATCTCAAACTTTTCCTTAAACCGCTTATATGAAGAAAGGAGTCCAAATAATGAATGAATGTATTTTAAGAGTTCTATTCCAGAATAAAATTATTTTTAAGAATATAGGTGGCTGTTTATTAGAGCAGCTCAAGGAATAGATATTTTGGAAAATACAAACAGGATGAATTTCCTATCTTTGTGAATAAAAGACAGTAGTTGTGCTTTCCTACTTAGAAAGTCCAAGCTGTAAGCTAATCAAATATCATAAAACAGGAACAATGCCTATTCCGCCCAAATGCACATCATTTAGCCTCGAAATTTTTCCTGATCTTCAAATTAATGTTTATTAACATAGGAGTAATAAATCTAGGTTTGTTTCATATTGGTTGGGAGTTCTTTATTATTACAATGTTAAGACAAAATTGGAATTTACTACACACTCTGTGAAGAATGATATATTTAAAGGTACATTTCTGCTAATATGCAGACGACCATTTTTGACTTTCTCAGCTACTATATTATTCCCCCCCAAAAAAAATTGCTTTCAAATAAAGAAATAGCATTACATAAAAGCATGTAGTGATTGGAAGTTTTGCAATTTGGATTTTGCTAACACATCTTTTGGTTCAAGACCATGATAATTGATAATTCAACTGTTTCTCAATAAATTGGAACCAAAGTTGTGGATTTATTACATTTTTAAACCACAGTGAAACTAAGATTTAAAATGCATTTGTTAATTAAAAATCATATATAATTTATTGAACCAGTATAATATTTATCTCAAACTTTTATTCCGATCTTTTTCCATATAACACAGGATGTCTTGGTTAAATTGGAACATGTTTACGATATAAGGATACTGAGGGTGTTTCAGGATTCACGAAGCTTTCTTAGAGTTATTAATAGTCCAGATGTCTTGACTACTTCATGACTTAAATTTATGAGGATATTCGTATTGCATTTCATGCAGGACATCCGTTGTCAAACAGTCTGAGGATGTTTATTCTAAATTCTTCTAGGGATTCAGATTTTCGAATTTTGAAAATGTCCTGCGATATCACGTTAAGCACTCGGGAAGATGTGTTAGCAGATACGTCAAGATGTGCCGAAGACGTACTAAGTAAAACTTTTAATCCTCACAACATGCCGTAAGCAGTGGAGGGGACTTAACGAGGATGTCCTAGGGCTGTACTGGGATATTACGTAGGTTAATATCTTTTCTTCATTTTTTTTTTTTTTTTTTGCAATAAAAAAGATTATGCGTTACAAATGTCTTAGATCCAAGAAAACTATCGCTGATTATATTCAAAAGAGGTAATTGCAATTTAAATATTTGCTATCTGAAGCCCTTCCCGTGGTTGAGGAAGACATGCACCATGCACGATCAAAATTTTAGTGTGTCCTTCTCTCCTTTCGCTGTCTGTACAAGTATTGCTGTAGAAGAAGGATGTGCGGAGAGCATTAGACGTGTAGATATTTGTATGTAAATAGATAAAGACTTTAAATATATATATATATGTATGTATATATACATATAGAAATACTTTTTTTGCAAGTTTTCTGTAAATATTTACAACATTCAACAATGATACAAGAAATACACTTTGCATCAAGGAAAACATTTATAGCTCTTAAAAATACGTGGCGATCCCATCCTGAAGGCCTTTCTTTAGAATTTTTCGTGTTATAACGTACGAAGAGCCCACGAAGTGGTTCTGCGGTACATTACATCCTAGAAATAATGTTGCATGTTTATTTTAATATGAACATGTTCTTTTTTTATAAAATTAGATTCGAAACATACGTGTTGTTGTCAGAAAATAAATTCTTTGAGAAATGCCTTCGGTAAAGGACGCTATCAAGAGTGAGTTTCTTGTTGTTTTGGACCCCTAATATATTATTTCTGGGGATTTACTTTGAAAGGCAGACTGCGACAAAACATTACACAAGCATTATTTATTTCCCTATGCAGGTTCAGAATCAGCCTGTTGTTGAGGGCAAGCATCCAGAATCTTGGAGCATAGACGGACATATCTAGACATAAAAGAAGAAAGCTCGTAATATTACGTATTTAACAAATGAAGCTAAATATGTTCTAAGCTAGAGATGAAGAATGCTCGGGCCATCTATCGCAGCTATGACAAAATGCTTAGCAACGAGTAAGTAAATTAATACACTGTTGACTAGTTGTAAAATTCCTAAATTTATAATTCTCTATGTAATTTGCAAAATTAACATACTGAATTGTATCAGCAAATCAATGCATGTCTAACTGAAAATTTTTATTTCTTCTGTTTTGTCTTTGGACTTATATTTTGATTTTAAAGGTTATTTATTTATACCATCTATCTGGTTATCCTGTTAAACATTTAAGAATGAACGTTAATTTATATGCAGAATGATTTGGTCTTTTAAAATATGATCGTAAAGAAGAATCTTCATTGAATGTACGTTTCTTGATAGAGGGATTTGCTTCATCAGCATTGATCAGATGAACATCATGTGATTCAATGAAACCTTTCCCATCTTGAGTAATGATATATTACAAAAAGTTAAACTGATTCTTTTCTTCTGTAGGAGCTATATTTACTTAAATTTACCTTAAAAGAACTAAAGATTGCTTTAATTAAAAAGTAACGTCAATCAGAATTTTAAAGCGATTTTGTTTTCAAATTAACTTTTCTCAAAATATATTCCCTTTTATCATAAATCTACAGAAACGTATTTCATGTCAATTACGAATTAAATTGCTATAGCTAAAGAGCCATAATCCGATTACTTTCTCTCACAAGTCGGGACCTAAATGAGAAAGAAAAGACTTTGTGGCATCCATCTTCAAGGAGAGAAAGACAGAGCTAATGTCTCATCAAAGATCATGGCACACAGGTCCCAAGTTTCTTGAAGAAAAAGTCTTGCACAAAATACTAGGTATCTCTCGTTTGATGTAGCAGCAGTTGTTTTCAAGCGCCAAGTATCCTCTTCATGGTATATCCAGGGAAGGAGTAAACAAAAAGGAGCAAAATGAGGACGAGTGCTGCGAAAAGTATCATCTTCAGGATAACCCACTTGTAATTGTGCCAGATTATGTACCGTATAGACTTCAAGGGATTTAGGAACCATATGAAAGTGGAATCGGGACGACTGAAAAAAAAAGAAAAAATAGAGCATAAATATCACCTATGAAAATTTTATTTAATGGGAAAATGGAAAATTGAAAAGTAAAATAAGTTAATCATTCTTTTTAATACGGAAAATCTAGACCTACAGGAATAGATTAGATTTTCATAACTATTCTTAACTTTCATAACTAACTAGCTGAGTTGTTTAAAAAGATTTATTCATGATTTTGATTTGAGTAAAATTTTTGAAGTTTAATGTTAGACTAGTATTAGTTAGTATAAATTTAATTCTATTTGTTTTGATTAATATTCAAGCAATTGAGAAATGTCTTAAATATTAGCCAATGTTTCAAATTAGGATTTCTCTTCAATGATGCTCAAGAAAGAAATCTCGGAGATTCAAATCAGCATTTTAATATTATTGAAGATTATTTTGAAGTATGCCAGAATAGAAAGAAATACTGATGACTCACTGTGGCTTGTCCAAAGGGTCAGGTTCATTTCGGCCAAGGCCAGCAGGATTTTTCTCGGCTTCTTCCTTTGATAGTAGATGAAGTTCAGCTTCAACTTTACCCTGCATTAAAATAAAATGAATATCATTGAATAACATAGTTAATGAAACATCAGATTTCGTATCATAGTACTTTACCAAGACTGAAAATTATGATGATGTTTCAGTGACACATACCGTGAGTTCCATTTCATCATTATCTTTTTTGATGAAGAAAGGCCACCATCCTTTGATCCTACGTTGCTTAAAGAGCGAAATCTGGGGTACACTACCATCTGTCTTGAGCATATCCAATGTGCATAGCTTAGATGATTTCGCTCCTCGTGGGAAACGATTCAAATCCAAAGTAATAGCACCTAGAATTAGAGTGAGAATAATGCTAATTGTTTTGGAATTGAAAACTAAAGCTATATTTATGAAGGTTAAATGAAATTTCAGCTTGGATATTAATCAGTAATCAAATAAACGCATGTCTTTTTATCAATTTTGACGAGTTTTTAATAAGTGAATTTTGTCAGTATTTTAGAGACTAAAAATGCCATATTCACAAAATGACAATTCCAGATGACATTCATATTAAATAAATTACATATTTTGAATTATCGTATTTTTCAGCGTATAATGCGCATCTTTAATTTACAACTACATTTTTTAATTTTTAGGTATATTTGCTGTATAACACGTACACAATTCTTCACAAAGAAACCTAAAAGGTACATGTGCAATGCTATATCTTTTGAGGTCACTTATCCAAACATTTGTCCTATATGTTCGAAGAATGGTAAACCACATTGACAGGCGATAAAGGGCGATGACAGGCGTATGTGCGTGGGCTAAATGCTTCCGGGAGTAAATATTCTGGCAACTAGAGTGGATTGTATTCAATTCAGGTGTCCAAAAGAATGCTATTGTAGAGCACTTCCAACCTGAATGAATTCGTAATTAGATGTTTTATTTTTCTACAATCATTTGAAGGCGAGATTTTCATGTGAAAATCGAAGGCTTTAGTAAATCGCATTTTCTTTAGGTGAAATACAGTTGATCTAATTCTCCTTTTAATAGCAAGTATAACTCCTGCGAAAAGAAATAAATACAGTGCTGGTTTCAAATGTAAAGCCATTCATTTTGCGAAAGGCAATGGAAATCGTCCTTCCAACAAAGATGTTTGGTGATGAAAGATGGAATGGATAATGATTATATATTTATGGATCAAAATAACAATGATGATGAAGACGAAACAAAATTCGATAATACGCCTGAAGATATAATGGAAGACGAGCATGATGAACTCTTTATGTTATCCGATAATGAAAATGTTTAATTTCATACAGCATGTCATTTGTTTTAAATAAGCAGCATTTTGGTGCATGTAAAAATCTAATTTTTTTCCTTATTTTTAAGCTATCACTTTTATATCCGACATATAATGCGAACAGGTAAAATTTGGTTCTATTATTTGTATTAAAAGTGAGCGATGCCGGAATATACGGTACTTCTTGATGTATAAAATGAAGAAAACTAATTCACTATCCAAAATTTTCAAATTTCAACTTTTAAAATTTTCGCATTCGAATGAGTTATGAATATATTCAGTCAAACCTATGAAAATTAAAAGTGACCATTAATTTTTTTGTCTCGAGGCCTATGTGATAGACACCACTGGGTTTAATGTTTGTGTAACTGTAGTAGTGACCCTTTAAGCCTGGATAGTTTAACTTTTCGTTATAAACTGCATTGTCTTATTTATGTCGTTATATTGTATTATTATGCTTTCATAATTTAGTTGCGATATGAGCGATGACTTACATCATTAACTAAAGGGTAACTGAGAAGTGAGAGTTGAAATTTAAGTTATTAGCCATTAGACACCACCCCTGAATTGATATTAAGGAAAGAATTCACTTTATGGAATGAAAAGTACAGTGCAGTGCAAATCTGATGAATAAGAGGGCTAATTGAGAAATGTGACACTTTCTTTACTAGATATTACTTGGAATTGTGTGATGGCACACTGTAGTGCAGCAGAAACCAGTCATTCGATTGAACGTTTTCAGGCTTCAGGCCTAGTGAAGTCTCTTCAGAATTCTGTCTATTACGTCTATCTTGCGTTCTACGGGTTCGTGGATTCGGAGTGATTGATGTTAACATTGATGAAGAATCAAAACACAATTTATTCATTAGTATTTCACAGAACAGTTCCAAAGACGCGTTACAGTCATCGAAAAACTACAATAAACATACTGAAACAGTCAGAAACACAGCCTTCAGCTATCAGGCTATAACGGTGAAGACAGCTTCACGGCAAAGCACTATAGTACAGCTCCCGACTCGGTTGATCACTCTGAAGCTAATCTAAAGCACTACTAACTGAACTCAACACACACAAGATACTGTTCTCGATAAAACTCAAGATACACTCGACGATAAACTGCTACTCCGCGTACAGGCAGGATATTTATAGCTTTTCACCTGTCGTAGGTGAAAAGCTAACACAATTAGAGGAAAATGGGTAAGAATTCTGTCTCTGTTTTGTTCTCGCTCTCTCTATATAGCATATCTCCAATTTTGTCGCCAAATATGGCAACCCTGGCATCCCTTTACTTGCTATTTTCTGGCAACCCTGAAACCGCTTTGCGGGGAAGCCAACTTACCACATGCGACGGAGGACGTGGGCACCATCTCTCTACCAATACGGTTAATCGGTATGGTGCCACGTCCACCTTTATCTATTGCCTAGATACATGATACATAAGAACATACGGTGGCTACAGGTAGACTGTGCAGAAAATACATATATATTCAGATGCCTAAATACATCTTATGTAGGAACATGGGGTGCATGAGATGTATAAGGGGACTTTCATAAGAACATATCTAAGGTGACACACATTGGGTGGCGTACACATACTTATGAATATAAGATATATAGGAGCAAAATCAGTTACATGTTACAGGATGTTGCGAGATATATGATACAAGATGCTGTGGATACAGATATATGCAGATGCCAAGATACATAATATGAGGTGCAGAGTGATTTATAAGTGGCAGGATACATGGTAGAAGGTGCGAAATAAGAGATGCATGATACAGGATTATGCGAGATATATGTTACAATATGCAGAAAATACAAATATTGGCAGATGCCAGGATGTATGATACGTACAACATAAGGTGCGGTAGATACATAAGGTGACAAATATAAGGACATGCATAAGGTGACATACACATACTTAAGAAAAGAAGGTTCAAAATAGGTTACATATTAAAGGATGATACGAGATATATGATAATTATTACACAATGATATAAGATATTTGTTGAAACGTACAGGGTTACATTTTACAACATAGGTTACGTATTGCAGGTTATTGCAAGATATATGATACAAGGTACAGAAGATACTAATATAAGCAGATACCAAGATGCATGATACATAATACATATTAAAGGATGATACGAGATATATGAAACATATTACAGGATGATACGAGATATTTGTTAAACATACAGGGTTACATTTTACAACATAGGTTATGCCGTATTGCAGGATGTTACAAGATATATGATACAAGGTGCAGAAGATACTAATATAGGCAGATACCAAGATACATGATACATGGTGCAGAATATGTTACATGCTACAAGATGATACGAGATTATATATGCAGATGCCAGGAATACATGATACTGGATTCAAAATAAGTTACATAACTAAGATTTTGCGAGATATATGATACTAGGTGCTGGAAATACAAATTTATGCTAATGCCAGGATACTTGATACAAGGCGCATGATAAGTTGAATGAATAAGTTACATGATACAGGATAATACGAGATAATATATGCGGATGTCAGAATACATGATACAGGGTGTTGAATAGTTTGCAAGATACAGGATGATACGAAATAAATGATATAAGGTACAGAAGATATAAATATATGCAGATACAGATAATGCTAATTCCATTGTACAGTTCAGTTAGTTAACATAATACAGATAATTGGCATAATACAGTTTCGTTAAATAATGCTTGTATATACATGCAATAGGACTATCAGTGTTGTACACACATTCAGTATTATTCAAAGGTATTAGATACTGGTGCCAGTCACTAAATCGCTATTTGTCTATTGTGGCAGTCTGTGAGTTTGGCACAGATCCATATTTAGTTCTGCCAGTTTGACCATTAGGAGCTCGATTTTTCTGACCAGGTGCTTTTGCTTTATTAAAAACTTACAGAAGGCCTGTCGATTTGTGGACGGAAAGTTGATGTGAAGTTCTTCTGTAAGGGGGACAGGATGTTAGGTAGTGCTCCGGAGAGCCAGTCTGTCCACAGGTGCACTGACTGGTATGGCTTATGCCGAATCTGTTGAAATATTCTGGAAATGGTCCATGACCCGTAATGTACTGACCAGTTGCGTGTTAGCAATGTTCCTGGTGGTATCCACGTAGCTGATGTGGTAATGAGCCCGTCTCCCAGTTTCGCTATTGTCCCATGTCTGCTGCCATAGCCCAATTGCCTTTAAACGCAGAGTCCTCTTCAGGAATGAGACAGGCCATGGGATGTCAATTTGTAAATCGGTCGGTCCTGTAGCTGCTTCTTTGGCGAGATGGTCTGCCAATTCATTACCGTGGTAGCCGGCATGCGCTTTTATCCATTCCAATTTGGTACGGAGAGATGGATTTTTCCGCAGGTCTTCTTGGACACCTTGTATTATGCCGGAAGGATGGTCTGGATTTCCTATTGCATACAGGGATGAGAGGCTGTCGGTTTTGATAGTAGCGTTGTGCGGATGTTGTGGGATTGCAAGTAGCGAACTGCTTACGCAATCGCCACTGCTTCTCCCTGAAATACGCTATTATTTTGCCGCAGCTGTCCCTTCCATTGGTCTTTTATTGTAACTTGTCGCATAACTACCAACGCACTTCCCACTTTTTCGTCAATTTTCGAACCATCCATGTAGATGGTGTGCTGTGCAGGATGGTGAGTCGTTGTGGGATTGATGGTAATATTTACTCCCGTGCCTTTGACCGCTGGATGGACACTGAACTGGTAGCTGTTGGTTTCGTAATCCTCCGGATGGTAATTGACTTCATCAAAGGAAACTGGTCGTTTCAGTTGCAATACGAATTGTCTTGCTGCCTCCTCTTCGACACGAATGTGTAGAGGAAGGAGGCCAGTGAGCATGTTAATGGTGTCTGAGGATGTCGTAAACTAAGCTCTGGTGATACCCAATGCAAAGGGTCTTTGTATGGTGTAAAGCCAACTTACCACAACTGCTCCAAAGAATATCTATTGTTAAGAAAGAAAACTTCTCCGCAACAGGAGTGGCTCCGTTCCAACGTAGAGGGAAACAACTGCGCATGAGCGAAACATCGGTGGCCAAAGCTCGGAGCCGGCGTCTCTAGAAGGTGGCGTCAAAGTTCCAAGGTCTGGTTTATCAAGAGTTCAGAAAACGAATATCGTTTTAAATTTTTTTTAACTTTAAAGGAAACTAAAATATTTTTTCGCGCAAGTGAATTAATTAATGGATTAGAGCAAAAAACGAAGGAAAATCGGACTTTAAATTAAAAGAAGAAACGTTATATCAAAGAACGTTTCTTCTCAGCACGTGTTCCTCAATTTCCTGTACACATCGCGAAGGGGGAAATTCTCGCCGGTAGGTGAATTTCCTCCGTTTCCCAGTGGCGTAGTAGCAAATTGGTTTACATTACGTCTATGGAACTTCTTCTTTACATAGACGTTCTTTGGCTGGGCATTTCTTAACATTATCATCTGTTGTCAGGGTAATCATCGAACTTTTCCGATATCCCGTACAAGACTGCAAAGAACGACAATACTTGAATTTATCATCAACAACTTCACGACCATCATGAAATCATTTGTAACGGACGTAAAAGCATTGAATAGTGTTAATTTTCAATCCCCGCATGCTTTATATACTATTTCCAAACGTCGCTGTTGCTGTTTTTCGCATTTTACCGCAAAATTTTATCGCTATTTTTTTCTGAGCCAGTAGATTTTTATGAGACTAAGGCCTGCGCAGAAATTCGCAGAAAAATTAACTACGCAGAAATTCTATCCGTAAGCAGATGATATTTTAGAAAAAGCAAGCTGAGATGTCATAGTAATTATCGTTCGGCAGTTAATTCAGTTCGACTGTTAATTATCGTTCGGCAGGTTTACTGGAAATTGTTAAAAACATTAGTTCTAAATCTTTGTAAATGCATTGCGTAAATGCAATGCGTAAAACGATATTTATAATAAAATATATTACTTCTTTTTATACTGAATTTATGCACTGTATTTAAAAACCAGTTGAAATACGATGGACTTAGACAGCAAGATGGAGCTTACCCAAAAAATCATCCGCTGAGAAGTGATCAGCATCCCATACTTGAAGTTCTAACCTTGCAGGAATCTTGCATTCTGTTTCATCCCAAGAGAAGAGAGATTCTTTCCTAGAAATCACAATTTTCTCTTCGGCTGGTAGGTAATCGAAAGGGTAGACGAAACGCCAATTGAAATTTCCCTCTCCCGTCAGTGACCTGCAAGGAAAAAACAAAAAAATAGTTACAATTGTTGCTTTTCATAATATTCTCCACAAATCGTATATTTGAAACAATGAGTTCATTAGAACTAAAAAAGTACATTAGTTGTTGGTTTATAACTAGTTCAAACTCTGCACTTAGCCGTAAGATGTAACAAAATAATGAAAATTCAAGGTTTAATAAGTTTAAAAGTGAGAATTACTTCAGTATTTTAATGAAAAAACCGTAAATTTTTTATTTCATGGAATCCAGGGTTCGTACGGTCCTTAAGAGTCCTTAAAAGTCCTTAAGTTTTTTGGAATCGATTTTTGGTCCTTAAAAGTCCTTAATTTCGGAAAATCAACAGAAAGTCCTTAATTTTAATCATCCGGAAATAGCGTCTGTTTTTACGACTGCCATTTTGAGTGTATTAGCATTTTGGAGGAATATTTTGGTGATTCAATGACAGATATGGTATCTTTTGATTGGGTGATGGGTTATAATTCGTTCCTATTCTAATAAATCGTGGGATTTCGAGTTTATAGTAAAAGAAGTGCCGCATACGTCTTTTGAAATGATTTCATTTTTTCTAATGAAGAGCTTTATACAATTTGGCTTTTTCGGGATGTGAATTCTTTTATTAAACCGCTCTGAATTCGGCGACTTTATCAGCATTTTGGCGATTTTAAGATCAGTTTCTGTAGAAAATTTTTAATTTCGAGATCTGGGAATTTTTCGACATTTTTTTAAACATTGTAACATGGATAATTTCATTAAAATAGTGGTAAAATATTGAAATTATGTTTAAAAAATAACATTAAAAGAAAAACGTTTTAATTTTCGCAGTCATATTATAAAGTTCCATTTTGACCACTTATTATACATATTTTGAATCTGCCAAAATAAGCAGGTATACGAAACAATTAACGAGTTTTAGCAAAAGCAAAATAGCTATGTAAGTAATTTAAATGTCTTTTTTAATTTTTTCATGGTAAGAGTTTTCCAATGTAATTGTCTCAGAGTATTCAGAATTATCAGAATTCAGTTTTCTCTATAAAATTAATTTACCCTTTTTCCTCTGATATTTTTTCTCAAAAATATTTCTGGCTTTTTACTGTTACAGAATTTTTCTTTAGGATTTTAGACATTGCAGCTTAGAAAGTTTAGAAGGATTTGAAGGCAAAATTATAGACCCAAGATTCTAGAAAATTACCAGAAAAATGTCTCCATGCTATTAACACGTAACGAAGTATTTTGCAGAAAGTTTACGATGTCTTTCTACTTTTTGGAGAAGGTCTGGAAAGAACAAAGAAAACATAATATTTGAATGTTTTACTTCTGATACTAGAATCTTTTTCTTAACACGTTTATCTTCTCTTTATTTTCTCTAATTTTCACTAGACACAAACATGGAAAATATCAAAAATGCTTTTATTCTTATGAGAAGGACAGGCATTATAGAAAGAAATTTTTTTCTTAGTAAAGAAATTGAAAACTGATTCATATTATATGTCTGAATGCATCATACACAGAGCTGGCCCTAGGCATTTTCCCACCTGATGCAATCTCTGCGGATCCTAAATTCTTGCCTGCTTCCAATGCCTGCTCTAAATTCTAAAAGTTTTGCCATTTCTAGATTTTGTTGCTTGGTATGTCACTAAATTCTAAAAATTCTGCCACACCGTCTCTGTAACCAGCCCTTGCCATGTATATTTCATATTGCTTCTGAATGTTCATATTACTAAAGATATAAAATTAGCAGCTTTTTCTATGCTTTCTAAATTTAGTGTTTTTAGAATAACAGAAATCTTTAATTTAAATTCTAAAATGAAAAGGAAACGTGCTGAAGAAAGGTTCTTCAAAGATATGTACTGCTATTAGTATGTACAGTTATTATTATGTAAATTACTTAGTTGTTTATAATTTCAGCCTTTACTATAATTTCCCATTTCTGTTTTCTCACCAGAATGCAATTCGCTTAGATAGTTTTTAAACTGAGGTGTATGGAGTGTAAGACAGAGTGTGTTTTTTTTCTCCACATACTTGCTGCATTAGTTCCTGTCCAAAATGAGACACAAAAAAATCAACATAAAGCTAACTATTAATTTAGAAGTAAAACAACAAATCTTAATAAATCTAACTGTTAGTAAAACGTAAATAAAATGTCACTTATCGTCTTTCTAATATGTCCAACTATTATAAGTGTAAAATATTAATGCTACTTGATAAATTTCATAAAGTTTTATTTATTCTATAACTTATTAATAATTATGTTAATTAAGTTATGTTTAATAGTAATGCATCCTACTTTTAAGTTTAGGACGGTATTACAAAAGTGAAGTTCAGGCACAGATAGTATTTTTAATTGAATTTGTTCAGTTCTCATTTGCTCATAGGCCCTTAATTTTTTCATGAATGGTCCTTAAAAGTCCTTAAAAATACTTAATTTCCGTGTGCAGAAAAGCGTACGAACCCTGGAATCTAATCTTTTTTTTCCAGCAGATTTAATTTTTTTTTTAAAAATTGATATACAAATTAAAATGTTTATTGTAAAGCGACATGTATTTACAAAGCTGTTCTTTTTACAACTCTGTACGAAGTAAGAGAAGTATTGTTACGACGAAAAGTTCCGGTTTCATATTTCAACGAAATTATCCCTTTTAACCGCTATCGACTGCAATTTAACGATGTTTTTGCGTGACATCTGTACGTAAGGACAGAATAAAAGGACTCTTTTTTCCACAAACGAATTAAAAAACTGATTTAAAATGGATTCAGAAGAGGTTATTTTCATAGCGTCTGTACGTACGTACGTATGTATATGTCTCGCATAACTTGAAAACCAGTAGTAAAATTTTGCATATAGGACTGTCATAACATGCAGTTGTGCACCTCCCGTTTTGGTTGCAATCGGCCGCACCAAAAGTGAATAAATATATATGTATATATATACTCAGTCTGTTACTCGGCTTCGTGAGCTCAGGTCTTTTTATTCTTATATGTTGGTAAACTGTGCATTTTGCTTTCAAAATGGTTGAATTATGTTGTTCTTATCTTCCGGTTAAAGTTTTTATGCCTTTAATTAATCTGCATGCAATAGTTGTAGAATTAACAACAATTTAAAAGTTGCTTAAGTGCGGCTAAGCCTAATTTGTTTTACTATAGCAGCCATATTTGTTTACATTTGAAACTTAGTAGAATAGTGAATTCAGTCAGTCAGTCAGATCAGCGTTTTTTTCTGTGTGGGACTAAAAGTAAGCTTTCAGTTTTGTGCAGGGACAAATTTGCCACCTTATCCGCTGGTCAAATTGCTTGTTTTTGCCTAGAAACTCCTGTTTTTGCTTCTTACACTATAGAATTCAGCATACTACCCAAGATACTTTTCTCCACGTACAGGCAGGTTTCATATAGTTTTAACCTACCTTCGAGAATATTCTTGAGGAAAAACACCAAGAATGTTCTCAATCAGTCTATGACATATCTCTAGATGGGCGATATAGCGACAAATCTGACACCACTATCTTGCCACTTTCTGGCACTTTCTGGCAGCCTTAATGCCCGCTTTGCGGAGAAGCTATCTTACCGCAGTTGGGCATTTCGCAACAATCCTCAGAGCAACAATACATGTATGATATATTAAAAATCTTAAAAGTGAAATTAGAGAAATTATGATGAGATTATTAGAAATCTCAAAAATTAGGTTTAATTTCCAAAGCACTAAATATATATATATATATAGGTGATAAAAATCAGCTGTTACCCTGTGTCCTATTTTGTTTATTATCTATTATTTTTCACGAGTTGCTGATTTTTTAAGCATATTAATTTTTCAAGTAAGATTTTTAGATATATTTTGTAACTTCACTACATCTGAATCTTCAATTATCAAAAAGCCAGTATAATATTTTTTAGAGTTTTAGTAACCGAAAGAATAAAAATCCACTAAAAATTTGCTATTAAAAGATTACATTTACTGCATGAAAAGGGATCATTATAAATGTATTTCATTACATTAAAAATATTAGTAAAAAATCGATGCGATTGTAAATGATGAATAAGCTACAATTAAAAAAAAAAGGAAATATAGCAATAAAATTCCCCAGTGCAAGGAAAGTAGTACTTGTGTACATACCTGTAATGGATATCTGTACATTGTGTATCTTCCGGTCCTTTAAGCCATCTAAATAAAAGAAGAGAGGGAATTTTAATAGTTGACATTCATTTTACTTTTGAAAATTTTTCATTAGATCAATCATTAGGAAAACTTACATATCAGCCAAATTTTACTTCCTTGTACGAAAGAAAGGAAGTATTGTTACCATGAAAAATTGTGGATATCACATTTCAAAAAAATATTAATTTTGACCGCTCTCAAATCCATCTGAACGATGTTTTTGCGTGATATCTGTACGTACAGACAGAATAAAGGACTCTTTTTTTTTTTTTTTTTTTTTTTCCAAAACGGATTGTAAAATGGATTTAAAATGGATTCAGAAGAGATCTTTCGTGATGTCTGTACGTACGTATTATTTATCTCGCTTAACTCAAAAACGAGTAGCCTCAGAACGTTAAAATTTTGTACATGAGATTGCTATAACATGCAGTTGTGCACATCACTTTTTGATTGTAATCGGCAGCACCAAAAATAAGTATATATATATATATATATATATAGAGAGAGAGAGAGAGAGAGAGAGGAACAGAGTGGGTGTATATATATATATCATATAACAGAGTGGGGGTGTATATATTCCTCTCTCTATACAAAGTGGCTCATATACAGAGTACTATATATACAGAGTGGGTCCTCCGCTCAATGATATATATACACCCACTCAGTTCTTTTCAATCTTAGCTATTGGTAAATTGTGCATTTTGTGTGATTGAATTATGTTGTTTTTATGTTCCGGTTAATTTTTGTATGTCTCTAATTAATCTGCATGCAGTAACTGTTGAATTATCAACAGTTTAAAAGATCGTCTAAACTTAACGAAGCCGCCATTTGGTTACATTTTACACTCCTAGCAGAATAGTGAATTAAGTCAGTTTGTGCACCAAGTTCAGTGTCTTTTTTGCCCAGTGAGACCAAAAGTAAACTTTCTGTTTTGTGCACCGAAAAATCAGTCTTCGTACCCGCTGGTCAAATATTTTGTTTTCAGGGAGAAACTCTAATTTTAATTGTAAAAATGTCTTTTTAACTGCATTTGGCGTTTCATATTTTTCTGCATTTTATAATTTTTAATGAAGGTGTAAGAGGTTTTATGTATTTTTGCCTTGCCGCGAAGGGAGATATGAATTAATTGAATGAGAAATATAACTCTCATGAAACTAGAATGAAAAAAAACGTTCAAACTTTTTTCAAGACGTCAAAAATTTTTGTCAAGACGTCTGTTTTGCGATTTGTTGCAAATCTGTACTTTAAGCACATTAAGGTATTGATTGGGTTATGTTACAATTCTTTGTTCTTATTGCATTGAAGCTGTTTTTCCTTTTCGGCGTCCCAGTTTTGATGACTTAATAACACTTTTGGGATTTTAAAATCAGTCTGGCTACGAAGATTTCGATTGATTTTCAAATTTCCTGACAATATTTTTACTGAATATAAAAGTGTTATTCCGCTACCATTAAAATCCTGATATTGTATTAAAATTATGTTATTTTAGGATAATTAAATAAAAGTTCCTTTGCTTTTCTCTAGTTTCTAAAAAGTCTTTTCTTTTTATGTTTCGGGATTTTTAAATACGTTCTTCGAAAAATTATACGAATTTGATAAGTAAAATTTTAAAATTTGTTTGGAAAAGGCAAAATGTTACATGTTTATTAAGTATTTCTCTCGCCTTCTTAGCATGCCTTCGTGGTGTAGTGGTCAGCACGCTGGGCGCGTATTTCAGAGGTCCGTGGTTTGATTCCCTGCAAAAGCGTTGCTCATTTTTCATCTCTCCTGCTTCCAAAAAATCCTAATGTCTCTACGGTGGCGCCCGAACTAAAAGAGTGGTGGATGATGATTCTCCACATCCAGGATTTGGCGATTGTGTCCCCTAAACCCCAGTCGCTCTTTAAAAGGGAGAGTATACAAGATATTTCTCCCGCCTTCGTAGTGTAGTGGTCAGCACGCTGGGCGGGTACTCTAGAGGCCGGTGGTTCGATTCCCGGCAAAGGCGTTGCTCATTTTTCATTTCTTCCTGTTTCAAAAATAACCTAATGACTCTAAATGTTAAAATTAGTTTAATTTGTTTCAAATATTTTATGATAAGTGTTTGTGCCTCTTTCTAACTGTTTCAAAACTTTCAAATGAGTGTCAGCTTTAAAATTCTCTTTACACTTTTTTTCGGAAATTTTTCAAAAAATCTTTTACTGTGAAGAAGTTGGTAGATTTTACTGTCAAGAAGTTGGTAGATCTGCAAACATAATACACAGGATATTAGATTATATAAATACTGCTATGCCTGCTATGAATTTATATACTATATATACATTGAATAAATAATTCGGCGTTAAATTTTAGCAGCTCTTTCAGCTTGACAGCAATACACATACTAAGTAAGGTAAAAATTGCGCGGAAAATATTTTGTAAAACAGAAATTAGTTGGGCATTTTCTGTTCCTGAACGCTCTTTAATGATAATGATCTGCTAACGTAGTGGCAATATTCATGAGCAAAGAGCACATTGGTATTCCATTAGTATCTAAACTAATGGAAGTGGCTTTTAGAACGGAAGGAATAGCTTTCCGATAATATTGTTACGAAATGTACAGGTGCGGTAAGATAGCTTCCCCGCAAAGCAGCTTTAGGGTTGCCATAAATAGCAAGGGAAGGCAGGGTTGCTACGTTTGGCGAGAAATCGCCCATTTGGCGACATTTGACGACAAAATTGGCGATATACCATGGACGGTTGGAGAATCTTCTGGAACGAATTCTTACCGGTTTAGCCCAGAATGTTCTCGAACACCATTCAAAAGCTATATAAACCCTGCTGGTACGCGGAGGGTTGGTTACGAGTTAGATAGTGTGTCTCGTCTAGCGAGTCAATCCCTGCGGAGTCGATCGATTGACAACCGGGCAGCGAGTGCCGAGTGAGTCGTCGAGTGCACCGAAGGAGTCTGTTAGTGTATCGCGGTTAGTGCATCGTCGAGAGAGCGTGTTGAGCTCCGGGAACGACTGAACCGAAGAGTCGGGAGCTGTGCTCGTGTGTCGTTGAGTGCATCGCAAGTTGTAGTTTGGAGAGTCTTGAGAGTACGTGGAGTTCCGAGAACGACCAAGCAGATTCGGGTGCTTTGCAGGAAGCTGTCTCCACCGTGATAGCCTGATAACGTGAAGGCTGTGTCGCTGATCGTGTCAGCGTGTTTATAACAGTTCATCGACGACTGTAAAACGTGTTTTGGAGCAGTCCTGAGAATCTTGGTAAATAATGTGTGTTTCGATACTTCATCAAGTGTCGTCGTTATTCACTCCAAATCTAGAACCCCGTACGAACGTGAAGGAAGAAAATAACGTAACAACTGGTGTCAGAAGAATAAAAAAACGCAACAATATTTTCAGTTTCGCCACGTGAACAGCGCTTTAAGCAACATCATTTTGCTACCCAATTTCCTCTGCAAACGCCATATAGTTAAACTTTTATGAATTTGAATAGTTTTACTGCTATGTTATACAAATATTGGTGCCTACTATAGATTTATTCAGAATAAATATCCTGAATAAATATTCCGGCGTTAATTTAGCAACTTTTGCAATTTCACAACGATACACATACTACGTAAGTTAGAATTGCTCCTGAAAATATTTCGTAAGTTGGATATTTTCTTTCCTGAACGCCATCTAATGATAATGAGCGGCAATGCTGATGCAGAAGTAAACAGCACATGGTATCGAAACCAAAGAAGTTGCTTCTAAAACGGACCAATGGCGTTCCGACAGTATTTTGTTTTGCCACTGGAGCAGCGCTTTTATGGCAAGATCATTGAGAGCATTTTGCCGCCCAGTTTTTTACAAAAGTCATGGATTTAAATAGTTTCTGTTGATAACCTTATAGATGTCGTATATCTTCGTGGTAGATGAACAATTTCCGAATCTAATAGCAACCTCAATTACTTTCTCGATGTAAATTGCAGCAATAATCTTTAATTAATATTCTTAATGCAAACAGTGCATGATACAAAGCACAATGAATCAAAGTATTTACGTTGAAATAAACTTTTAAAGTGAAAATATTCTTGAAAGACTTCAACTAAAAATCGCGGCTATGGAAATAGTATTATACAGAACATTGCATTACAATGCATTATAAATATCTGCAACGATATCGTTGTAAGTTTTGCATTTATTTGATTACATTTCGGTTTTCCATATGTTTTAAGTGTGCATATTTTATATAACAATTTTATAGTGTATCACTATACATAGTATAAAACAAAGTCGCTTTCTCTGTCCCTATAATCCCTATGTATGCTTAAATCTTTAAAACTACGCAACGGATTTTGATGCGGTTTTTTTTAATAGATAGAGTGATTGAAGAGGAAGGTTTATATGTATAATAACATCCATTAAATAGTGGAGAAATACTGTTATTTTTGAGGTTTCTAATGTGATGTCGTAAATTTATAATTACATTTTTTTGCTTACATTGCGAAACGCAGGCTGAACCCTACGAGATTTATCAAAATAATGTACTAAGTATTGTACACATTGAAAAGGTCTACAGATTTAAAAATTGCGGGACGTAGCGTTTGCGGCGGTACCGGCCGGCCGGGGCGGGCGGGAGCGTGCCTATAAATAGCGCGTCGGAGGCCGCGGTTCTCCCTATCTAGCACTTTGAATTTAGCAGCGATCGGACGCGTTTATTATCGGAGCTCTCTAGCGAGGAAAATAACAATATACTTAATAAAAACGTGTTTTTCAGCGCGACAACGTATCAGTTATTTACTTCATAATAACGACAACGTATCAGTTATTAAGAAGTTACGATAAATAATTGTATGGTACAGTAGTTTTAAAATATAAATGATATTCTATTCTAAGGTTAGATGAATTTTTAAATCGCACTTATAGTAATTATAAGTACATAAGGTCAATAAGATTAAATTAAATAAAACCATAATTTATGGATTGGAATTTTCTATTAAGATCTTGGTTAAAATTTAGAGTTAAATCAATTTAATATTAGGGAAATTATTTTCAAAA